AGCAGAAGAGTTCTTTCATTGTTCTTAAACAATGAAAACAGACACCAAATATTGTGTGATTCTGCTTACATGAAAACTTCAAAATAGGTCAATCTATAGAGCCAGCAAGGAGAGCCGTAAACTGGGGGAGGAGAGATGAGCAGTGATGGCTTCGCTGGGAAGGTGCTTGTGTTAGGGGTCATGAAGAAGTTCTGGAACTACATAGTGGTGATTACTGTACAACAACATGAACATACTTAATTTTATATAGTAAGTGTTATTGGCTTGTATTTTAAAGTTGCTTAAATGGTCAGATTTAGGTTTAAATGTACTTTATTAAAGTTTAACATAGAAAGTGAAGGGAAAGTGAAAGAGAATCTTTGCTTTAGAAAGAGAGAAAAACAGCTACCTAGATTCTACATCCAAATGAAACTGCATTTCAGGATCAAAGGTGAAGACATGATTTTTTGCAGATGCACAGCCCTTTCATACCAACAGATACTACAAGAAATGTTAAATCCTCCAGGCAAAGTGGAAAATGAGGGAAGGCAGAACCATAGATCTGCAAAAAAGAATAAAAGCACCAGAAATTATAACTATATGGGAAAATATAAAAGACGCTTCCTCCCTAGATAAATGTCATTACAGATAACAGACAGTATACAGTGAAAAGTAAAAATGTACCTGGGTTCACACCATATGCAGAGGCAAAACACATACCAAGAGGTTAGACAGAGGGTGAGAACAGAGAAATGGAAATGAAGCATTGGTTTTATGTGTCTGACTAGTCTGACTAGAACTGGATTGGGCTAGTTGTTTTCTTTCTAGGACATAGGATCCCCTGGGCACATTGATCAGATGACCACACACACACCAGGCATTTTCACAAAACAGTCATTATGTAAAGGGCTTCCAAGAGAATCATTAGACACTACTGCCTAGACCAGACTCACTAGACGAGAGGAGCAATTATCTGGGTATTGATGTGTGTAAGCTCCATCTTGGACAATTGACACCAGGAGTAGTGCCTTGAAAATAACGTGCACAGCACATGGGCGACTAAACATCATATCTATATCTATATCTATGTCTATATTTATATCTATATGCACATCACAAATACACAAATATATGAATATACAGCTATATTAGACACAACTATATAGATATATACATGAGTTAAGAAAGCAAAGGTAAGGGTGGAGAGGCGGCTCAGCAATTAAGAACATTGGCTGTTCTCACAGAAGACCTGGGTTTGAATTCCAGCACCCACATGGCAGCTAACAACTGCCCATAACTCCAGTTCCAGGGAATCCAGCAGACTCTTCTGTTCTCCGTGGGCATTGCAAGACACAGGTCCACTTACCTACATGCACGCAATATACACATACACATAAAATAAAAATAACAAATAAAACATTTTTTTTAAAAAAGGAAGTGAAGGTAAACGCTGGAACACACACCTCAGTCAGCGGGTAAGACAACATGGGGAGGAGACAGAGTCCAGACTACATTAGGCAATTTTTGTGAGATGATGGAGAAGTGCATGAACATACTAAGTTCTGAATAAAAGGGGAAAAGGAGAAAGCCAGGTAAATGCTAGTTCCCTCTGTTTCCTGGTCCACTGAGATGTGACCAACTTCTTGCTGCCACAGTGCAGCCTTCCCAGCTGATATAACGGACTCTACCTCATGAGCCTTGACCCACAATGGACTTTTTACTCTTATAAGTTGCTTCTTGTCGAGTATTTGGTCACAGAAACAAGAAATGAACATACCAAGGAACTTCCCATTTCTATACTGTGTTCTATAATATAGTGTATCTCTCTCTTCTCTCTCCCTCCTCTCCCTCTCTCTGTCTCTATCATTTTCTGTATATCACACACACACACACACACACACACACACACGCACACACACACACAAACATGCATACTCACACATACATAGGTATCCAAATTTGATTTGAAAAACACAAAACTTTTATTCTTAAGCCTGAAAAACTGCATCCAATATGTGAATAATAGCAATCAAAAACTTCAAATTCTTGACAAGACATGATGAAACACCCATGATTCCAGCACCTAGAATACAGAAGCAGGATGATTATGAGCTTTGGGCAAGAGAGCAATATATAGAGAGACCCCAAGTGAAAAAGACAAAGCAAGAAAAATTAAATTCTAAAGCTAAATAACCCTTCAAATCGAAGGAACATTTGAAAATAAAATGAAAAAAAAAATAAACAGATAAAACCTGAAGTTATATTGAATAGGACCCCAAGTTGCCATACATTATACTCTCCCAGGCCCTTTACTATTGCACACAACCTTCTTGTCAGCTGAAACATTTTGGAAGAGTGAACAAAGTCCTGGTGATGTAGCTCTGCAGGTAGAGTGCTTTCCCAGCATGAAGTAGGCCCTAGGTTCACTCCCTAGCATTGCATAAACCAGGCAATTACCTGTAATTCCAGTGGGTGCAAAGTGGGGGCAGAAGAATCAGAAGCTCAAAATCATCCTCAGCTACATATAGAGTTTGAGGCCAGTCTGGGAAACATAAGGTCCTGTGTTTAAAAAAAGAGGGAAAAAATAGAACACATGCCAGAAATTGGAGAAGCAAAATGTGCTCTAGATGAACTCTCGTCCAGCCTCGTTCTTTACCGGTCATGTGGTTTCATAATCTTGGGGGTAATTCCCAAGCAGTCTGACTTAGCTTGCCCTCTGTGAAGCTGTTTTGCAAAGTCATGTCTTGGAAGACTGTTGGAATGTATAGGCGATGAGTCAAGTGGCACAGTGTCTGCATATACTGTGTATTTAATTAATGTTAATTAAGTTTAAATACTAATTTGATCCACATCTATCTTCTCCACCTCCCTTTTTACAATTCGGAACATCTCAGGAAAAAAAAAAAAAAAACACTCCAGAGAAAAATGAATATCGAATCAGCAAAAAACGTGGCTTTCCATATGAAAGTCATAATGATTTCTCTCTAGAAAAAAAGCCGTCTGGGAAGTGGGTATATAGTTGAATAAGATGGTTTGGGATGTTCTGTGTGATATACACACACATACAAAAACAAATCAACACATTTTTAAAAATGTATTATATTTGAGGAGGAAGCATGAGAAAAATGAATATCGAATCAGCAAAAAACGTGGCTTTCCATATGAAAGTCATAATGATTTCTCTCTAGAAAATAAGCCGTCTGGGAAGTGGGTATATAGTTGAATAAGATGGTTTGGGATGTTCTGTGTGATATACACACACATACAAAAACAAATCAACACATTTTTAAAAATGTATTATATTTGAGGAGGAAGCATGGAAATTTACATCATGTTAATTAGTAGAAGTGATAAACATTACCATTGAAATCTACCCAATGACTTTATAGACATACACAGGCGCCAAGGATCCAAGTGCAACCGATTATGACTAGTGATAATCAGATACATACAGATTAAAGATACATGTGCCAACATCTCAGCATTAGTAGCAAAAACAATGAGTCTTTGTGCAAGGAACAATATATTCTAAAATGAAATGGAGATCTTTTTTTAAAAGGTTAAAAACTCATTCAACTTTATGTCTTACAGGGCTTATACTGAGTTCAATATTGTATAACTGTATTAATGCAACTGTGAACCCAGAAACTTACAGCCACTTATAAAAGAGATGTACTCTTGCTCTGGAGTGTGTTACTGAATACGTTAAAGCTGTAATGAAATGCTTCTTCTAATCATGTAGTTATTAAAAATTTAAATTAATGAATTAATTAATTATTTTGGATGTGAATCACTGAAAAAACTCAAAGCTCCTAGAATTAAGTAAAAATACCACCACTTTCTAAACTTCCCAGCTGCTTATCTTCTGGATATATGCTATAAATTAATGTAGTTGCTACCAGATCCTAGATCTCGCATAGATTTGGCCAAACAGCAATCAAGATCACCAATTTTAAGGCATTATGGTGGAGTGGAGTCTGGCTCTCACAGACCAGGAGGGAGAATGGCAGCATTGTGGTCTTTAGGCAGCAACTCAAAGGATTCTTACCCAGCTTTGCAGAAATATAACCCTTACGGTTAGATAATGCATAGCTGGACATACTGAGACAAGCCTGTAATTCAATCACTTGAGAAAGGAAGGAAAGAAGATCAGAAGTTTCATGTCCAGCCTTGGCTACCTGAGGTCCTGTCTCAAATCTCCAAAGCAAACAAGTGAACAACAAAAATCCTTAGTCTATGCAAGAAGGCAAGAAATTTATACGTACCAGTACAGAATCACAGGTTGTCTTGCACACAGGCATCAGCTGAGGATTTTCATCTACTTTAACTGGAGACCCAAGGGAACTGGTTAGTTTTTATTGTTGAATTCTGTCTCCTCTATGATACGCTGAGAGTCTGGCTTCTGATACTTTCTGTAACTTAATGCAAAATTCACTCCCACAAAGGAGGTTTAGTTTCCCAAAGTCAAAAACTATAGTTCAAGTTGCATACACTTGACTGCTGACAACTGCAGCCTCAGTTCCCAACTTATTACTTCTTTTCACTTGTTCTGTCTTGACAGACATCTTTCCATTTCCTGATAACTGTTTCTAAACTCTATCATTCTCTGGGAAGGGGGTATGCTACTCATCCTCAAACTTCCCCCAATATCGCTACATATTCCAAACAGGAATATCCAAATAATGTTTGGTGAATAAATGATTCAATGAACAAAGATCTTAAATTATTAAGATTTATTGCCATTTTCTCAAGGAAACCAATCAGATTTAGGTACACATTAGAGTTGACTAAAATGGTTAAAGGAATCCAAAGATTAACCATTGGATATTTCCCCCTATATTTTCTCTCAACCTAATAAAAGAAGAAAAATTGTGTGATTAACCATAAACTTACAAAGAACAGCAGTGGAAAAACACCCCAAAGGAAAAAGACGAAACTACCTATCACCATGTAGAACTGGAACACAAAGTTGTCCTATACCATGGTCTACCCAGCTTAAGTCAGAATTTTGACTGCCCTCTTCAACACCAGTAAACGGATTCTAATACAGAGTCTTCACTTTGGGTCGGAGAAGCTGGTGCCCAATGCTCTGTAACCATGATGGTCTTACCCACCAGGCCCCTTCTGGTATAGGCCCTCTCTTCCTCTTCTCTGAAAGCCTCACCATAAAGGAATGAAAAATGACCTGGGCTCTTCCTTACGACCCTAGCCAAAAACTCTAAAACTTTCATCTTGGTGGTTTCAGAGTGGGCTCTTGTACCCCACAGGAACTCATAGTGTGGAGGATGACTGTTAGGCACCAGCCGATACTCCAGATAATTTTGCTGCACTAGATCTTTGGTCAGGAACTTCCTGGGTTCCCCGTAGATGGAGTGCTCCTCTCCATCATATATTCCTATCATGTTCAAGAATTCCCAGATACTTTTTTCAGAGGCACAGTTTCCCTCTATGAATATTATACCTAGAATAACTATCAGGAAGCCATTTCTAGGCATTCTTTGATCACTAGTCATCACGTCTTCATAGGTGAGGTTCAGTGCGTTGACAAGAACATAAGACCTGCGTATAGGACCATTTTTCTTTATATCAATGCCAAAAATCACCTCCAAGCACTTAGAAGCTTCTTTGAAGATCATAGGGAATTGTTCCTCATAGTCTTTAGTAACAACCTTCAGCATTTCGCATTTACTGATGGGCTCCTTCATTCGGTATTTGAGGATCAAAAGATTCACCAAGTCAGTCACCTTTTGATTTTGGAGTTTTTTCCTCAAGGATTCAGTATCTCTAAATTGTAAGGGGTTTAGGACTCCATCTTCTTCCTGGCTATTGGATTTGTCATTTAATTTTCCCCAAGAAGTGGAGTAAGAGATCTGAGAACTGTAGAAGATTCTCTGCATCCCTGCAACAGGCTCCTCCCCCTCATCTGGAGTGCCCCAAATCGAAAGAGAGGAAGATGAAGATGTGGAAGATGTGGAAGGACAGAAGGAGGACAACAAGGCTTTTAAAGATAATCGGGAGGAGGTGTTCTCATGATCATTGTTAGACTCTTCTTCCTCAGATTCCTCTTCCTCCTCCTCTTCTTCCTCCCCCTCCTCTTCCTTTTCCTCCTCCTCTTCTTCTTCCTCCTCTTCCTCCCCCTCTTCATCCTCTTCCTCCTCCTCTTCCTCCTCCTCCTCCTCTTCATCCTCTTCTTCCTCCTCTTCTTCCTCTTCTTCCTCTTCCTCTTCTTTCTCCTCCTCTCCCTTTTCTTCCTCCTCTTCTTCTTCCTCCTCCTCTTCCTCTTCCTCTTCCTCCTCAGTTAGGGGACAATTTGTAAATATCCACCTCTTTGTTTTAATGGGGTCCTGGAAGGCTTGCTCAAGACTGAGGCGTGGACACTTTCCATAGCGAGGCATAACGACTGGAAGTGGAGATTTAGACTGGAATGTAAGCAGAAGTGTACATGAATGGATCCCACATTCTTAGGAGAGGGAAAGATAGTGAGTGGCCTCAGGTGAATATCCATCTTGCCCCTGCTGGTTCTGAGAGAAGCATACTTACAGGTCTTCTCTGTTGGTGATATGCCAGAGCTTTGCAAGTCTGTTGTTCTTCTGGTTGCTTGTCTAATTGGAACCTGAAGAGGGATGTGAAAAAGTTCCTCAGTGTTCAGACAGCTGGCAGATCTTGTAACTCTGATGCCCACCCTGAGGGATGTATCTAGGTGCTTTGGGGACCTGTCTGTTCTGAAGTCAGGGTGATATCCTTGGTGCACATTCAGGGCATGCATCTTACATGACTCCATAACTTCCTGAACCTTTTCTATTCTTTGATTTGAGGGAATATGACTCATATTAAGGACCTCACACAAATTTCTGGTAGCTCTGTAAGATGAGCTGAGAGGGTCTCCCAAATTTAAGACTTCAAGGACACCCCTAAAATTCCTCAGAGCTAATACAGGTGAGACCTGATTCTGAGATCAGCACAGTTCTGGGTAGATGGCTCTCCCCTACCAAGTCTTAGATTCTAATCATCTGCTGTGTTGAGACAGTTGCTAAGGGAAAGACTTCATATTCCTGAGACAAAGAGGAAGAAGTAAGGCAGCCCCATTTTTAAGCACACTCGTCAAGAGCCATCCCAGGGTGATAGTAAGAGCTGACCAAACAATGTTCCCACCTCCCAGGTGAGAAGGGCACTCATTTCTCAATCTGATACCTGTTCAGAGCTGTGGATTCTGTTGGCCTTCGTTTGCCCCTCAGAGCATTGCTCTGAGATCACCAAGCTGGGGGAAAGGCCACACAGGTTACTCAGGACCTCTAACAAGTTGTAGCATGGGAAAGGCAGCATAAGGTGTACCTTCAGTCCTAGAAATGGGGGTTGCAGCCTCAGTCCTCACTCAGCTTTAATTCCTGGCAAAGTCTAGAACACCGCCTACTGCTGACCTGATGTACCGCCTCTTCACACTGTAGTCTCTTCAGATAAATGTCCTCACTTCACGAGAGCACAGACAACAGAGAAATCCTGGAACTCTTCCTGGTGATGATTTTACACATTTATACTAAGGCTTTCCTTTATTTCCCTGGAACACTTCATACAAAACTAAAAGGTATCAAATCCAGTGATCCCCTACACCAGGGTCAGTTATGTTAAAGGAGATATGCAATCCTACCTCAGGAGATTGTTTTTACTGTTATTAAGACCTCCCTCAGCCTTTCCATCTAACCAAGACCTCACAGCCCTGAAGTACTACCATCCCATGGCTCTTGGGAGAGCTTGTGGCAGAAGTCAGAACCCATTCCAATTGGTTACCACAAGCTGTATCCTCTCAGGGCTGGAAATAGGTTGACAGCCAGAATCTATAAAATCCTTTTTTGCTCAGGGGAGGGAGGAAGAAAACAAGGGAGGAGGTTAGGAGGGAAAGATAAAATTTTTTCCATTCTTACCAAATGTCCTTAACTTGACTCTCAGGACTCTGCTCTATAGGGACTAGCCTTCAAGTAGTGTCATCTCCTCAGATGGGAGCCCTTATCTCCTTGAGACATTCCCCAGAAAAACAAATGAAGTAGTTCCACATATAACTCCTGCCTGCAATATCACTAAGACTGGAAAAAGAAACCTGGATGAGTGTGGGCTTACCTCTCTCTAATACTGAGTTAACATCATGTTCCTTGCCCTATGTTGGCATCAAGGGAGGGTTCCATTTTTATTTTCTGATGTAAGTGTGGCCACAGTAGCTAAATTGGCCAGGATAGGATTTGGGACTCCCTTTGCAAAGCTGCCCTGGGCACCTTGGACAAATGTCTATTTCTCTCTAAGAACACAATTAAATGTGAACTGTTGTCGCATCTTGTGCATCTGTCCAGGATCTCCCAGGGTTGACAGTAGAGGATAGACTCCATGTTTTTATTAGGGCAAGGGGCTATATCCTCTGTCCTCCCATGAACTATTGATGTTGCTCCCTGAAACCAAAGCCTCACTTCAATGAGACAAACTCCATTAGTTCCCAGAAGGATTGACCAAACATACCTGTCCACTACTGCCTGTATCTTGAATGCATGGAGGGGTTTTCGGTGGGGGGGGGGGCTTCTGTTTGTGGCAGTAAGAACTATAAGCCATCCTCAAAGGATTTATATTAATTTCTGACAGGCCATGCACAGCCTCTGTTCTGTTCATGTGAGGGTGCTTTCCTCCATCCAAGGGACCCATCTCCTCCACATAGCTCCCCTCATTCTTGTCTCAGAATCTTCTCCATCTTGAAGCCTAACCAGCCTCCTGAAATAAGCCTCACCTCCTCAGGAAAAGCCACCCTTCTGATTCCAAGATGGAAGCCCAAACCCAAACTGGGCACCATGGGCCCGACAGGCAAAGGAGGCCAAGGCTAAGGCCTTCCACAGCTATCATCAGAAGCCTTCTCAGGAGTCCCCCAGGTGCTTCATATCAATGCCTGGCAGAGCCAACCCAACTTCTTCTGCTGAGTGGAGCCAAGGTCCCTTGGGAAAAAAAAACGACTCTTCTAATTCCAAGAATTCTGCCAAGCAATTCTCAGAGCTAACAGCAGAGGTTGCCCAGGGCCAAGGCCCTCCCATATCTGTGTTAGTAAGTTCTATCAGTCCTCCACCAGGGAGAGCCTGGAGCCCTCCCCTTCTCCCTGTCCCTCCCTCCCCCTCCCAAGACGAAAACCACCATGGAAATGGCAGAAACAAGCCATGTCACAATCTGAAGCATTCAAGAGACAAAGGCCAGAACAGATAAAGCTATCACTACAGAATCTGTGTAGAAAGGAAGGTTCTCAGTCCTCAAGCCTGGGACTTCCACCGGAGTCTGGAGTTTGGCCTCCTCAAAATACCTCATCTCTGTCAGACTTCTGACATGGAACTTGGGAAAGCTATAAACCATGACCCTGCCCAGGGCCCCTAGGGATAGATGGACCTACATCTCCTATATTTGTGGAAGAAGACTTACAGTCTTCTCTTAGGATCCTCCCCTTAATAGTCTCTGAGTCTGAAAAGCCTGCCCTGCTGACCAAGTGCAGCTCACTCACAAAAAGCCACCTCGCCTTCAGATTTTGAAAGAACTCCAGAATCCACATGCGCTGGGACCAGTCTTGGAGTCTCCTAGGAATGATAATGAAGGCCGGTGGAGCTAGCACACCTTTATCTGTTGGGGGTGGGGAATGGCAAGCCTCCCTGTTCATCATCTCCTACCAGGAATCCTGCCCGCCTGACCCCAGCCACTTCACAAAAAGCCTCAGTACCTCAGATTTATTTCCACAGATGAAATCTTGTAAAAGGCACACGCTGTGACAAGGCCTGCAGCTTCCTGTGGGCACCTGCCCACAATATCTGTTAAGAGGCAGGTTTCTAGTCCTCCTTGCAGGATCCTCCCCTCACGACTGGGTCTCCTCCCCTGCTGATTTGTGTACAGACCCCTCAGGAAAGCCTCACCTCCCTTAGGACTGGCAGACAGGGGAACTAGTAAAATATTACAAGCCATGACCCCACCTGGAGCCTCCTTGGCAAATGTGGCTATGCACCCTAAATTTCTGGGGGAGGGGAAGACTCCCAACCTTCCAGCCAAATTCTGTCAGTCTTCCATTCAGGGCCCTCCCCTAGTCATTTCCCAAGACTAGGACCTCTCCCTTGTCAATCTTTGACCTAAGTCTAGCCTCCACCCAAAATGCCTCACCTTCTTAGAATTGACCCTGCCCCCAGGGAAATCTAGACTGAAACAAATACATACCCAATCAGGTCTAGAGCCGTGGACAGCTGTCAGCCCGAACTGGATTAACGCCCCCTATTTGTCTCCTGGAGGGCAAAGCTCCCACTCCTCCCAGAGGGTCTTCCCATTCAAGACTTGGACGCTTCTCCCAGTTGACCAGATTCCAGTGCTCTCCGAAAAGCATCACTTCTCTGGACTCTCAACATAGGAAAAAGATCCAAAGAGCTTCTTCCCAGCGGGGAACCACCTAGGAAAAACTGCTGGGAGAGGGTAGATTAGCACAGCCTCTATCTTTATAGGGCAGCAGGCTCCCAAGCCACCCTAGGATCCTCCCATTAATACTCCCTACGGCTGGGACTCCTTCCCTGCTGACCAGAGTCCAGCCCTCTCACCAAAGCCTCACCTCCCAGGGGGAAAATGACCGTGGAACTCTGGAAAGATTACAAACAGAAATCAGTAACTCTTGCAGTGGACTTGTCCCCTGTATCCATAGTGGGAGGGGCTCCCAGTCCAACTTCTGGTCATTTCTTGGGTAATTCTCTAGCTCTAGGACCCCTTTCTTCTTTTGTCATGAAACCATGTGCCTCAGAATCCCCAGAGAGAATTCTGGAAACCCAGGGACGACCCTAAGCATTAGGAGGGACCAGCATCATAAGTCATGATATACCACACCAAAGTACTATTACTGTGGAGGGGCGTGGCTTAGGGAGTCCCTGCTTTGTGTGGGTGGTTAAAGCTCAGTCCTAGCTCACCATCATTGCTTTGCTCTTGGCTGTCTGTGCTGTTTCTCCCTCTGAACCAGAGTTCACTGGACTTGGAACCACCCCTTCCCACTTCTGAAAGCTTCTCTTTTCAAATAGCGAGAGGGAAGCAGAAAGCAATACCTTTCTAAGCCCCAGGGCTTCCCGAGGTTTACAATTTAGCTAGGGTGGGGCTGAGGCCAGTGTTTAATCTGACCGGGTAAAAATGCCTTCAATCTTCCTCTGGAGTAATTGCATTTAATCCTGTAAAGCATAGGTCCCATCCTCTGACGGTCTGATGATCTTTTCTCCAGGCCAAGGTCCACTTCTACCTGATTGTCCTACATGACCTCCACAGCCATAAAGCATGAGCGGGTTTGAGTGTGTGTGTGTGTGTGTGTGTGTGTGTGTGTGTGTGTGTGTCCTTGTATATCTAGGGAAAGAAGTTCCCATTCTGAAAA